GTGAGCAGCGCGGGCCGGCGGGCGCGGGGAGGGAGAGGCCAGAAAAGATCGAGGAGTGGGGATGGCTCGGGGAAGCCGGGGCGAGAGCTTCGGGTGCAGAGAACTGGGGTCGTGCGTGTGTGGAGCTGGGCTGCAGTTCAGGGATCTGTTCGAGCTCCGGGAGAGGTGAAGGGAGGCAGTGTGGAGGCGCGGAAGTGGTGCCAGGGACTCGCTGGTGTCCCTGGCTTCCCACCAGGCTGCCACCCTCTGCGGCGTCCCCCTGCCGCCCCCCAGGTGCCAAGGCCGCCCTTTCCCTGCAGCGCACCCCACCCCACCCCCGCCACCGTGGCCCTGATGTTCAGAGAGGAGTCGGTCATCTGAAGAGGGCGGAGCCGCCGTGGTTAAAATGTGCGCGTAGCGTCTAGTGCCAGAGGCCTTACCGGACTACGAAGCTCGCAGCTCCCAAAGAGTAAATAAGGAAGACCGAGTGGCTGCCTGCCCCTCCCTGGTATCCGCTGTCCAAGCCATTGGGACTTGCTAGACACAGGAGGAAACAGGGCAGGGAGAATTTCCCGGCAGGAAAAGAGGTCTTTCCACCTGGCACCTGCATGTGACAAGTGTCACAAACCGAGCGCTGTCCAACCGTCCTCCCCCAGGCACAGCCCCTTTTGGTTGGGGACTCCGAGACTGCGTTTGAAACTCATCCCCCAACATCCAGATGGGAATGTCCCCGGTGCAGCAGAGGGTACCTGCTCCGCTGACCTGCCCCCCCCGCGGGAAAGAAGGGCGGTCACGCGGGCGCTGCACATCCTACTGGACGTTCTCTTAGAAGTTTCAACCTCTTAGCCTTTAGGCTCCCATTCCCACAACAGCTTGCTTGGCTTCCTAAGCCTTTGCACACTCCTGGGTCCGCACAGCCTTTCCCCGACCCCTCTGCACTCCACCTGGCTCACCTCTTGAGTCAGAACTGGATCCCCCCTGGGAGGCCTTCCTGGAAGCCGCCACACTTTCAAGTTCACTGGTGACATTCCAGCACTCTTTGCCCTCTTCTCTCTTAAACTCTTACCACATGATTTTGTTACTGTCCCTACGTTAGCTTAACACCCTTCCATTCCCGTTTTCTGACTCCTTGCCTGGCTTGCAGACGAGTGAATAAATCCTCACCTCTTTTTAAATAAACACTAACACCATTTGGAAAGTTTAACATTTTGCAAAAGCATCATTTTTTAAAATTGTGTTCAACCCTTCCCTATTTCTGAAAAAAAAAAAAAAAAAAGCACACTGACTGGCCGGGTGTGGTGGCGCACACCTGTAGTCCCAGCACCAGAGGCAGGAGGATCGCTGTGAGTTTTAGGCCAGCCTGGGCTATACGGTGAGTTCCGGGCCAGCCTGAACTATACAGTGAGACCCTGTCTAAAAACAAACACCCCCAAAGCAAGTGCACCCATTCATGAATGCAGAGGGCTTGTGTGTAAGGGTAGCTCCCCACCCTCCTCTTCCCAGCTCCCGCATTGGACAGCGCTGTTGCCACCTGCCCCCTCCAGGCGTCTGTGTTGCTAAGGTTCTCCCAATGCCACCCTTCCACTCTTTGCTTGGTTTTTTTCAGACAGGATCTCACTACGTAGTTGAGACTGACCTGGAGCTCACTATGTAGCCCAGGCTGGTCTCGAACTCACAGTGATCCTCCTGCCTCAGCCTCCCTAGTGCTGGGATTACAGGCGTGTGCCCCCTCACTTGGCTACCCCCTCTGCCACCTGCCACTCTTTTTTTTTTTTTTCAGCTTTAATTGAGTACATTTTAGGGATACAGTACAGTTACATTCATTGTTGGGATCTTGTACCTCTACATGACAAGTCTTGATTCTCATTTTTTCCCCTTACCCCTGCCCTCCCTTCATCCCCCCCCTCCCCATCTACAAACACTTTATTTTCATCTTTTCATTATCTCACATTTTTTCTTTTCCCTTATTACCCTTCCCCTACACCCTGCCACTCTTAATGCCAGATATTTTGTTTTGTTTTGTTTTGTTTTTATGGTACTAGGAAATTGAACTCAGGACCTTGCACGTATGAGGCAGTCTCAGTGCTACTCCCCAGCCCTTGGCCACTCTTCCTTTTTACGTTTTTGGATCTCTTTCTGCACAACATGATGATGGTTCTTCTTTTCTTTTTTTTTTTTAATTGTTTACCCTGCAGCGGTGGCATTTTACCCAGTATATGGTGCTTAATTCAGCTGCGTTTGGGTCAAAATCTAACCTCCAGTCTTGTTAGAAATGAAAATTATAAACAAAGATTCTTCTGTGTTTCTGCTGCCCTTTACCTAACCTCCCCTAGCTACAACTCCAGCCCAGATCTTTCTTAGAAACATACTTCCTCTTGATTTTATCCTAGATAGTCAGTGATGACAGGTAATCTTCATGTAACTGAAGTGGTACTGTAATCTTAACACCAATCAACTGTATCAAGTTATTGTTTTATTTTAAAAGTTATTGTTTTATACTATTCTTTAAAAGTTTCAATCTATTGTATTACTGTTAAGCAACAGTTTTGGGTTTGTTGTTGTTGTCATTTGCTTTATTTGTTTATTTATTTATTTAATTTTTGGTACCGGGGATTGAACTCTGGACCTTGCACTTGTGAGGCAGGCAGCAGAACCACTGAGCTAAATCCCTGGCCCAGTTGTTGTTGTTGTTATTACTGTTGTTTGGTTTTCTGAGACATGGTCTTGCTATACAGTTCAGGCTGGCCTTGAACTCACTATGTAGCCCAGGCTTGAACTCTCCGTGGTTCTCCTGCCTCAGCTTCCTGAGTGCTGTGATTACAGGCGTGGGCCACCATACCTGGCAAGAAGCAGTTTGAACTACAAACAAGGGACCCATGTCTGCCATTGGAGTGTTGGTGTCCTGTAATGAGTTGTGTGTGGTGTTTTGTTTTGCGTTTGCTTTGGCTTCCCCAGCATGGTCCCCACACGGCAGGGTTCTGTGAGGGCGTGAGTCGAGGGTTGGGCTTGCTCCAGACTGGTGAGCAGGAAGCATCTGAAACTCTGGTCCCGGATCTTGTGTTCTTTCTAGCAGAAGGAGCCTGGGAGAGACCAGGCCTCCTGCGACTGCTGGCCTGCTTTTCCTGGGGTCCCTGGGGCCACCAGAAGGAGGGAGATGACACCACCTCCTCCCCGGGAGGAGCACCTCAGGGTGCGTAAGTACTTGGGCTTCCCCAGGTCCGGAGGGCTGGGTGTGAGGCTGCAGGGGGGGGGGGCTTAAGGACAGAAGGAGGGGACCAATGCCCATGGGCAAGGTGAGCCCCCCAGGTGTGTGGAGGGGGTGGAACCAGTGACGTTTGAGCCAAGGGTGGAGGCTTCCCAAGGGAGAAAGTGGCAAGGTTGGGAGCGAAGGTGTGACAGCAGGTGTCGTGCCCAGAGGAGGGTTGGCCTTCTAGTGATAGTGAGGGGAGACAGTGAGGGATACCTGGGGGCCACTGGTGGTTTCCGAGCAGGGCCTCAAGATAGGTGTGTTAAAGCCGGGTGTGGTGGCCCATGCCTATAATCCTAGCACTCGGGAGGCTGAGGCAGGAAGATCGCTGTGAGTTTGAGACCAGCCTGGGCTACATAGTGAGTTCCAGGTCAGTCTCAACTACATAGTGAGACCCTGTCTCAAAAAACAAACAAACAGAAAAAGATGGGTGTGTTAGAGAGGCAGCCAGACTTCGGGGACCGGGAGACAGACTGGAAGCAGAGACCGCCTAGGAGGGGACAGCAGTGGCCTCAGGAGGGACAGTAGTGGACTTGACCAGAGGGGCAGTGTAGGTCAGGAGAGGAGGGAACCCACAGGAGCGGGTTTCTAGTATGGAGTCATGGACTACTAAAGAGACGTGAGGGAAAAAGGGAAAAAATGCTACAGGCAGTTGTTTAAGGTTGAGCCGGGTGAGATGGCACACACCTGTGATCTCAGCACTTAGGAGGCTGAGGCAGGAGAATCACCAAGAGTTCAAGGCCAGCCTGGGCTACATAGTGAGTTCAAGGCCAACTTGCACTGCATAGGGAGACCCTGTCTCAAAAAACAAAACAAATGAATGAACTTTGAGTGTGTCCCTCACTGAGAAAACAATCACTGGTTAATGTCCCAACCTTGTATTACTGCCTAAGAAGGTGCCATGATTTAATGACCTAAAGCAACAAACATTTATTAGGTTCCTGACTTCCCTCCTGAGCTCCAAGAAGCTGGGCAGTTCCTCCTCCCACCTGCCCCTTCCCAGTCCATAGGGGCCGCTCACATAATTTAAAGTCCCCGCAGGAGTGACCAGCCATCCCCACGCCATCGGGCACCTCATCAACAGCTCTCCCACCCCACCCACACCCAAGGGACGGGCTCACCTAGGCCCAGTCAGTAGCTGAAGGCTGTGAGTGTTGGAGCTGTCTTAGAATTTTGCCTAGAACAATTGAAAGTTTAAAAAAAATATGGCTGAGGCAAGAAGATCTCAAGTTCAAGTCTACCTCCTGCAACTTAGCAACTTAGGGAGACCCTGTCTTCTAAAAAAGAAAATTCTTTTCAAAAAAAGGAAAGTACTCAGCACTCAGGAGGCTGAGGTAGGAGGCTCGCTGTGCTTTCGAGGCCAGCCAAGGCTGCACAGTGAGTTCAAGGCCAGTCTGAACTACATAGGGAAATCCTGTCTCAAAAAGCCAAAAAAGGAAAAAAAAAAAA